AGAAGTCATCTGTTTAAACTGGGAGAAAATAGCTGCAATAAAACACCTCTTAATCCCAAAGCCAGAGTGTAGTTTGAAGGCCTATTTATTTTTTAACCAAGGACAGGCTGTACTCCCTCTCTCCGCCTTTAGAAACAGTTCTGCAGAGACAGCCTGGCTTTCCTGGGGAGTCTCTTTCAAATGGGAACACCGTGAAAAGTGGCCTGCACTTGTGCCTACCAGGAAATTAAATTTGCTCAACCCTAACTTCACATATCCTGGGACCCAGCAGGGCTGGATGAAAACACTACACCAAGGGCCTTCGCTCTTGGAGTCGCATTTTAATGACATAATCTCAGTTTTCACTGGGGGAAAAGTAAGTTGCTAGCTCTTATGAGATGGAAGAACATCATGGAAATAGGATGTGAGGCGAGCCTGCCTGAGTTTGCAGCCAGCCTGAAGCAATGGGCTTGAGGGGTGAACTCCCCATACGTCTAAATGGGATGCTGACTCCCAACGATCTGAAGTAGGCAGCATGATGTTCTGCATGGCCTACCAACACTGAATCAGCAGAGGACTTGTGTCTATGGCAGGCCCATCCCATTTACTCAAGCAAATATACCCCAGCTGCTGAGGTAGAAGGTGAGACACCACTCTAGTGCTATCCCTATCTTCTCAGGGGAGGAGGAGGAGGATCTGCTGCTGTTCCTAGAAAGAAGAAGGGTCCCTTTCCTGGCCCTGTTTCTCTAGAAGGAGAGGTAGTATCATAGTTTCATAGTTGTTAGGGGCTGGAAGGGACCTTACAGATCATTCGGTCCAGCCCATGCACTTGGGCAGGAAAGACTACTGGGATCAGATGACCCCAGCAAGGTGGGCATCAAGATGTTTTTTAAAGATCGTCAGGATGGATGACTGCACCACCTCTGGGGGGTAGTCTCTTCCAAACCCATGGCACTTGGCTTGTAAAGAAGTTTTTTATTTTCCTTATGTCTAGCCTGAAGTGATCAGTTTGTGCCCATTATTTCTCATCCTCCACTGGGGAGCCTTGGTAAATAGATGCTCCCCTAAGCCCTGATGTATACCCCTGATATACTTAAAGACTCAAGGCAAGGAAGCATGGCTTAAAGCCCAGTCATGGGTCCAACCTTTTATATTTTGCCATAACCAGAAGCCACCATACTGCTTCACTCTAAATTGCTTTTATTTTCATAGGATTATAGGAAAGTGGGACTGGAAGGAACCTCACAAGGTCCTCTAGTCCAGCCCCCTGCTCAAGGCAGGTCTTCCCTAACTAAACCATCCCAGCCAAGTATCGGTCTACGTTAAGGAATATAAGAACAGCAGCATCTCCATGAGAGTGAGCACGCAGGGTGTGTGTGTCTCCCTATAGCAGGCTGCCGAGACTCTGAGCACAACATGGTCACTGGCCGTGCACACAGAAATGCAAAGATGTGGTGTAAGCAAAGGCAACATTTCCTAGCAGCAGACGCTACAGGCTACTAACCTCCGGCAAATACACTGCAGATGCATAATAATCGGAGCACAGACTATTCCAAGTGTAGGCTGTCATGGAAACAGTGGCAGCAAGCAGCCTCCGCTGAATAAAGGGAAGACACTCCAAGGGTCTTGGTGAGAGCTAAGCTACAGGTTGCCATAGGTTTGAGCATGGATGGGGGAAAGTTACCACCGAGCAGTTGACAGGGGTAAGACGTTTTACCTCTTAGGAAATTGTTCAGCTGTCCATACCCAGAGAGCAAGCATGATTCTGTGATTAAGGTCCTGGACTAGGATTTAGAAAATGTGGGTTCCTCTTTCAGCTCTGTCACAGGCTTGGACAAAGCACAGTCTTTGAATTCCTTATCTGTAAAAGTGGGGAGAGGGCTGATTCTTTTCCGCTCCCCTTGTCAGCCCCCTCTTTTTAGACTGTTAGCTCTTCCAAGAAATCAGCATCTTGTTGTGTTTGTACAGCACCTAGCACAATGCTGCCCCTATGTGTAATAAGAAGTCAAGGCACTGGGGACCCTCTGCCCCTAGATTTTGTCACTGTACAGGCTGGCGAAAAAGCAATATAAATCTCCCCCTTATACCAAAAAATGGGGATGAAAAACACCAATAGAGGGCCTTTTGTCCTATTCATGTACAGCACCCAGCATAGTAGGGGTCCTTGGCTATATCTGGAGATCCTAGGTGCTGTGGCAGTACACATAATTAATCTTTCCAACCACTTTTATTTTTTCTGGATTAGCAATAGCGAGGAGGATTGTGCAACATTCACTTAAGCCCCTCCTTTCAAGCATTTGATATGATATGCCACTGAAAAATTCCAGCGCTGGCGGTTCATTTTGCCCCTGTTCCACTATCTAGTCTCTGTATCTGTATTATCCTCGTGAATGTGACCTCATGCCTACATTGTTTTTTAAATGGCACCCTTGAAAACTGTCCAGAATGAATGCAGTAGATGAAAGAAATTAAGAAGACATGTTAAAAAAAGTAAAGCCCAACTGTCCTTTCCACAATCCCTCTCTTCCCAGGAAGGAAGAGCAGTTTTATCGTGTCTCTGAAAAAGGAAAGCTAAGCAAAGTACCCCAGCCGTGTAGCAGCAGGGTGCTTGAGATAAGACAAGGAAAATATTTCACTGATATGGCAACTGTGCTCATCTTGTTGTAACATCCCTGTCCTCTGGAATCCAAGGCAATAATTACAGCAATTTGTAGATAATTATTTGTTAATTAAAAACAGGCTTGCTGGGTACAGTTACCAATTTCCTCCACTAGCTTTCATAGAGCCATGCAGAGAGACACCGGGGGACTGAAGATTTCATAAAATCAGCCACTTGTTTGATTCAAAAGGGATGCTGATGGGTTATAGGGCCTCTCTCTCTGCACCTGAGCGGGATTGATTCATTATCCCTTGACGTCCCAGATTGATGGATGCCTAGGTTTCCCCGAATATAGTATTTCCAATGAAGGTGGCTACACCATCCCTCTTAACAGTTTGTTTCACCAGCTAATTTAATTAATTATGCACATCCTGGTTCATCACCATTGGCACTTCCCTTTTCTTTCTCATGCCCTTGTGTGACAAGATATTTAGCAGAATTCACAGATGTGTTGGAATCTGACAGGGTCACTCCATAAGGTCTTCGGCTTTGGCCTCAAATGCTTGACCTCTGGGCTTCCAGCCACACACCCCAGTGTCCACACCACTAGAGCCAGGTACCATTGGCACTTATATAGTGCTAATTGCAGAAGGCGATCTGAGGGCTGGGACCTTCAATAAGGAGCCCTATTCATCTGATCTCAGTGGATCTGCTCAAGCCAAGCACCACACCTAGTAGAAGGCTTTTCAAGCTCACGACATAAGTGACATACCAAGATTTCAAGTCCTGTGATCCCTAGATGTGATATGGGCTCCTACCATATATATGCCACTCCCCACTTCCCTCCACTTTCTGCTAGGTTTAATGCTGCTTTCCAAAGGCACCACTGAGTTTTATTCGGTGCTGCTTCACTGCTGAAACACAGCATACCATAGGCGCCAGCTTTTATTTTTGCCAGGGGGGAGGACCTAAGATGATGGACATGTGGAAAGCTTTACACATTTCAGGTGAGATCCCTCTACCTGAGGGGGGCCAGGGCCCTTGGGCCCTCATGTACTCAGCACCTGTGCAGCCTACCTCAGGCCTGAAATCTGGGTTTTGCTTACTGAACAGGAATAGAAATAGTTCAGAGATTATTTTTAAATAAAATGTCATATTATATATATATAGATACATATATATAGATAGATATACACACACACACACACACACATATATTCATAAATACATATATACATATACATTTATATAAAATATAAAGGCACTGAAATGTTCCCCTGCCATTCCTGGAAAACCAAAGGCAGTCAGACCTGATGGTGACAAACTACAGCATCAACCCTATAGAAGTCCATACCCACCAGAACAAGGACTGAAAATCGAACCTAGTGTAACCTGAATACATCCTATTCTTCATAGTTTCATAGTAGTTAGGGGTCAGAAGGGACCTAAATAGATCATCTAGTCTGACCCCCCGGCACTGGCCGGAGCACACGCTGGGATCACTCAACCCCAGACAGGTGTTCATCCAACCCCTTTTTGAATTTACCCAAGGTAGGAGCAAGGGCCACTTCCCTAGGAAGTTGGTTCCAGATCCTAGCCACCCTAACCATGAAATAGTGCCTCCTAATCTCTAACCTGAACCTATTCTCCAGCAGCTTCTAGCCATTGTTTCTTGTCACCCTAGGTGCTGCTGGGGGGAATAGGACCCTTCCTATTTGCTGCTGATCTCCCCTAATGAGTTTGTGGGCAGCCACCAAATCCCCCCTCAGCTTCTGTTTGCTGAGGCTGAACAGGTTCAGGTCCCTCAGCCTCTCCTCATAGGGCCTGCCCTGTTGCCCTCTCATCAAGCTGGTGGCTCTCCTGTGAACCCTCTCCAGGCTGGCCACATCCTTCTTAAAGTGCGGCACCCAGTGCTAGATGCAGTATTCCAACTGCGGCCTGAGTATCGCCTCTCTGGACCGGCTTCCGATGCATCTTTAGATGCATGACAAGGTATGGCTGGCCTTGCTGGCTGCGGTCTGGCATTGGCAGCTCGTGTTCATCTTGGAGTCAATAATGACTCCAAGATCCTTTTCCACCTCTGTGCTCTCAAGGGGGGAGCTCCCCAGCTTGTATGTGTGCTGTGGATTCCTTCTCCCCAGGTGCAGCACTCTGCACTTATCCACATTGAAGCCCATCCTATTACCATCCACCCACTTCTGTAGTCTGCCTAAATCTAATTGCAGCCTCTCTCTCCCTTTGAGCATGCCAATCAGATGGGACAGGTAGGCAGGAAGGGGTGCTGTGAGAGGGATGCCAGAATTTCGAGCGGATCCCTCTTTCCACTATACAGTTAGCCCAAGCCCAGTTTTTAACTATATACAATTTATTGAGTTACCAACATATATATACACAACTCTTTAAGATAGAAGTAATTACAGATATAGATACAAATATACATATAAAGGTCTGTTAGCTGGAAGAAGTCAGCCCTAGGGAGGGCATTTGCGTAAGTACCCATGCCTAAGGCCCAGATGAGGGGTGGATCCCAGGAGAGTCAATCCAGCAAGTTTATAGCACAAGTGGGTTAGCTAATAAAGACATCCTTACAGAGCCCACTATACAGAATTAATACATCCAACTATTTATAACACCACCAATAACAATAGATACCGAATAGGAAACATAACTATACCAGATATTAGATTCACCCTATCTGGGTTCCAACCACTTGGTCCCTCAAATGGGATAGGGTCTTCTCCCCCTAGGCCCACTCCCTGAGGGTCCCTTGCCCGGGAGCGCCTCCACCAATGTTCCACCAATCCAAAGTGTCCTTCTCTAAGCCGGGCTGGCCATGCAAAAGCAGTGAGCCCGTCACACTAGTTATAAACAAGAGAGGAAACAGATAAGCTGCCTCCTTCCCCTACCGATCCTGAAAGCATTGCCAGAACTGGAAACAGCTGCAGCAGTGAGAACAACCCAACCAGCACAGCAAAAGGGAAACCACATTCTCTCTGTGTTATTACTCTCATGGGTTGTTTGGCACACAAGGCCAGCTTTGCCCCTTTCATTTGCCTTGCTACCTGGCTTTCACACATTACATGAGCTGGGCAGCCACATCCCAATTAGCCAAAGTGTCTGGGTGTCGTGATATACAGAATTGCAAATCTGCTTCAACAGCACAGAAACTTACCAAAGAGCTGAGATTAAACCCCAAGTTAATGAGTATATTTAATTAACTTGGTTATTCAGTTTTTTTCTGGAACGTAAATAAATCACTCCAAGTACAAAATATGTATTCCCTTCCTTTAAACATGTATTTATTGCTCTCTTTCCTGGCCAAGTGAATGACTTGTTGGGAGTGCCTGGCTGTCCATACTCATCTTCATGAGCAGGATCCAGTCTGCTCTGCCCCATGAGTGCATGAAATCAGCTCCTGGGATAACCCCAGGTCTGTAAACAGTTTGTTCCTTTCCCTTTAATTCACAGTTCCTCTAATGGTTCTTTTGGATGCATTGGTTGCGTTAGTGCTGGGGTGGGGGGGGGGTGCAAGACAAGAGAAATTCAACTGCTGAGGGTTTTGCAGGGATGGCCATTCCCCCAGCTGGAGTTAGCACCGTATCAACCTTTACAAGAGCACGGAGAGAAGAGACACTGTTGGGAAATGCCCGGCAGCTCATGTTAATACTGAGTGTCATGTGCTTTGGAGGACCATCAAGCCATGAAGTCTTAGCTGCAGTCTTCAAGCAGGTGGGTTGTCGAGATGCCACTTTGCATATCAGCATCCCATGATTGTGCAGCAGCTGGCCACGAGCAACCTGCAGGGAGAGAGGAGAACTTCCTTGAGATGGGTGTGGAGACAGGACTGTCCTCTCCAGGGCTCAGGGCAGCCCAGTAACTCTTCCTGGGAACTTCAGAGTTGGGAAATACTTGACCAGGATTCAGGATGTTTTGCTACTGGGGTGATCTCCTACTTTACCCAACTCCGAAGGGCAAAACCTTCCTCTCACCACCCGCTGCCCTTAGAATCTGTGAACTTCTGAAGGATCTGGAGCCCTCAGGTAGGGAGATTAGGGGAGATAAGGCAGAGATCGTGGGCCCAGGAGAAGAGGGATACTGACTCCAACAACCTCCATACTGCTCCTGTCTCTAGTTTTATGGCGCATTGAGCTGAAGTGCTTGGATGGGAAGGGAGCATTGAATGGGCTGAGGAAGGAAAAAGTGATATTACATGGAATCTGAACAATGGAGCACCCCAAAGAAACAAAAGAAACATGCCCAGAACTATGGTGGTCATAAACTCCTCCAAGACCATTTCAGGCTGGATGTAAGGAAGAACTTCTTTACTGACCGAGTCCCCAAGGCCTGGAACAGACTGCTGCCAGAGGTGGTGCAAACACCTACTCTGGACTCCTTTAAGAGGCAATTGCATGTATCTTGCTGGGATCCTGTGACCCCAGCTGACTTCCTGCCCTTGGGGCAGGGGGCTGGACTCGATGATCTTCCGAGGTCCCTTCCAACCCAAATGTCTATGAATCTATGAATCCTATTGGGTAGACTCTCCAACTCCTGGTACTCTTAATTTACTGGGAAACTCCAGTGTTTGAGACCTGTTGCCCTAAGGCAGCAGCTCTCAACCTTTTCCATACCAGGCCTCCCTATTTTGCCACTGGTCCCCATCCAGTCAGTACCCCATGCCATCAAATAATACAAGATGAGCAAGGAAGTAATGACCTCCTGACACATGGCTGCAGCCTGAGCTCACAAGCTGAAAGCCCATCTTCTGGGGTGAAAAACAGCTAAGATTCAAGAATGTAAGATTGTTTGCTGAGGAAAAGAGAGACATCTTGTCCTGACATAAGGTGAAGGAAGCTTATTGTGGATACATCCTACAACAGGATTTTAACCAATCGTTTATTTGCTGTCATAGTTCATTTCTGGGAAACAGGTTAAAAGATGAGATAAAGTTATTTACACAAGAGAGACGCAGGCAAGGGACAGAACGATTTGTTGCTCATTCGGCAAGCCAAAGCTTGGTTCATCTCAGGGGCTGTTGGTTCACAACCTAAAAAACCTGAACGGACCCTTGGAACTTGAGCAAATGGTTTTGGTAGTTCTAATTTTAGTAAAATCTTAATGGTTTTAGGACCATCCCACCCCAGCCCCACCAGGGATGTGTTTTGCCTGCTTTACTCATGGGCTACTCACCTTCCCCATTCTTCAGGTAGAGGACAAGTCCCACCACAATGAGCATCAACCCCAGTACCAGGCTGACAATTCCAGCAATCATTTTGCTCTTGGCAGAGTAAGTCTGTACTTCTGTCACAAAACAAGAGCCCCAAGAGTTAGGCCTCAGCTCTCCCTTTAATACCTTATCTGTTATACCCACAAGTGTGAGGAAGCAGGTCTGCTTCCTACTTCAGAGCAAACCCTGATGGTCCCCACAGAGCCGGGAGTTTCCCCAAGGGGATCTTTAGGGAGTCCCCCAGTTTCAGACTCTTACCCCACTGCAAGGTCATGGGAGTTTGAAGGCTAATATGGTCCACTTGGCAGGCATAGACATCTCCCCTCCGAGGGACCATTTCCAGCTTCACATGCATTTGGAAGGTCCAGTCGCCATTTGGGAGCAGCTCACTGGACACAACGTTGCCTGTATGCTCCTGCCCATTTTTGAGCCACTTGACCCTAATATCGGAGGGGTAAAACCTTGTCACGGAGCAAACCAGCAGGTTGTGGGGGTGTGAAGACTCCGTTTTCATGGGGTAAATTTTTATTTTGGGCTTCACTGAGAAACAGAGACAGAGAGAAAAACTTGGTAAAATTTTCCTGCTCTAACCCAGCCCACATTGCTCCTAACTGGGTGCATCTATACAAGATCTTGTTTACTGCAGAGTAGACTAATTAGCAGTAAACGTCTCACGTCTATATGTGCAGCCCTATTAGGCTGCAGGAAACTAATAAACTTTGCAGCAAAGTAGCTGTCATAAATACAAGTACTATCCTGCTGTGGAGTTTTTTCCTCTAGCCCCACACTAGAGCACCCTTGTGCCCCAGTCAGCCCCTCCGCAGCACATTGAGCCGGGTCAGAGTAGCCCAAGCTGGCCAGAAGCCCAGGGGGTCAGTCTGCCAGTCCAGGGCTGCTTTGACCTGGCTCAATGTGCTGCAGTCCCAGGGGCACATTCAAACAGTGCACCCGGGAGCAATAAACTCTGGAGTTTATTGCTGCATGTTAACAGCACATGTAGATGCTATTAGGAAAAGAGCTAAGAGGATCGGGCCAAGTCCATAGCATCTGGATTTCTCCTTCGTACCCAACCTGAATCCACCCCCTCCCAGCCACCTTGCCCCCTACTCTCATCTCCTTTTATCAGGCAGTGGTCTGTATGAGTAGAAAAGGTGACCAAACGCTCAGCCCACATGCCGGACCAATGCAGAACACAAGAGCAGGTCATGTTCAGCGTGTGAAGAGCTCGTGATCATGATGCTGACCAGCTCATGATCAGACAGCCTTAACGAATCAGGAGCTGCAGGAGAAGCGTGGCTGCCTGGCCAGCAGACACACTCTCTTAACTGTAAATCAGCAGCCTCCTCTGATTGGCTGAAGAGTTTATAAAAGGGACAGCGCGCTAAAGCGCAGGTTCCCGGGTTCCACACAGGCCCTCGGATAGGACTGATCGCCCTGTCCAGGAATCCGTGTCCCCATGGCCAAATAGTCATACGAATAGTCACACCCTGGCTATTATTTCACCGAAGAGTGAGCTCTCCATCCGCACGTACATCGGAAAAAGCAATTGCTATCTCCTACCTGTCATGTTTAACTACTGCTTCGCCACTGTCATTTTGTTGTGTAACCACTGTTGGAATCTTACTCTAAGTAAATGTTAAGTTCAATTTTACTATCTTCCAACTGAGTCAGTGTCCCTTTCATCTCCGGCCTATCCGTAAGGCGGGTTGGTCATCCACCCGCCCCCCGGTTCAACTGGTAAACCGCCTGGTGAGTGCTGCAGTTGCCGACATGGTCATGACTGTGGTAGATGTTTGCTGTCTCCGTCAGCTCACTCTGATAGTGGGGTTTTGGGAACCCCATGGGGTACCATTGCCTGAGGGGTGGTAGGCTGGGAAGGTCCCTATGTGGAGCTCTAGACATACTGGCTCCAAGCCTCTCTTGTAGGGCTTCACAGATCATGTCCTTCAGTATCTTATTAAGGGAGATTTCCCCTTGAAACTGAAATTTAAAGTCTACTACACAAGCCACAAGTGACCTTTTCATTCTGTCCTGAAAAGTCCCATCATCTGTCTCTTACCCCAAAATCAAGCCCCACCTTTCCCCTTCCCCGTACACAAACAGCCCCACTCAATTGCTCAACTGCTCTCAGGCAGAGTTTGCCCAAGCCACTATCAGTTCCCGTTTCCAGCTTGCTTCTCTTCACTTTTCTTACCTCCAACCCTACCCCCACTCACCTTTCCTGTCCATTGCAACGCTCTTAAACCTCCTGTAGCTGTAGCTGCAGAACTTCTCCACCGAAGCCCACAAGAAGCTCAAGTACTCCAGCCTGTTGCGATACTCAGCAATCCGTCGACCCTCCTCTGTGCGGGCCACGTAGTAACCCACGTCGCTGTCATAGTAGCAGATCTCCTGCTGGCCCCAGATCACCCGCTCCACGTACCTCGCCTGCTGTGTGCCATTCACATAGTGACACTCGTGATTCTCCTGCAGCAGGAAGTGCTCTGAGAGGAGACGGGCAGCAGATCACGAACCATCCCACCCAGCTCTGCTGGGGCCTGGGGAGCGGATCACAAACCGGTCCCACCCACTGGTGCTGGGGCCTTGCCCAGCCTTGGATGCTCCCATCCCACCGTGCGTTTCTAGCCCCTTGCGCTGATTTCTGCACAAATGAAGTTCCAGCCCCTAACCTCAGAGCTGGGCAGCAGGAAAGCTCGTCCCAGCACTAGCAGCTTGGCTCACCTGGAGGTTCAGTGCAATGAGCTTTGTTGACTCGCAGTGCTATTATCACTATCAGAGCCCCAGTGCAGCCGGCCCCAGCTATCCCTGCAGAAACCATGGCTTCTCAGGAGGGGGAAGTGACAGAGAGCACTGCTGAGAGTAGCAAGGTCTCACTCAAGCCCTTCAGAAGAGGAAGTTCTCTACAAAACCCCAACCACAAGAGCATGAAGAAGTTGCCCAACAATACAATTGGGCAGTCCTCAGCCAACAACCCAGTCAGCATCTAGGCCAGGCCACATCAGTAGTAACCAGGCAGGAGCAATTTCAGCCTCTCTCTTCCAGTTGCATACTTTAGTGAGACCAATCCCGCAAGTCGTGCAGGATCAAGTGCAGTTGCTGCGGAAGAGGCGCCTTGGGATGCTGTGATTGTGGCTCTGGCCCACTTCCTGCAATGATGTCTTTGGGCCTTGCTCAGAGGCTTGTGAGAAGCCATGACTGTGACGTGCACATTGTGCAGCAGGCTGGCAAGGTCTAAAGACCTCCCTCAACACCCTAGAGTTGGCAGCTCTGAGAGATGAGTGTGTTGCAGAGAGAAACCCATGGACTCAAGTCAGCTGCACATGCTTGGGTCTCTTACTAACTCCCAGATTTAAAATGCTCCTGGTACCTTCTCCAGTATAAAGGCAATGTTTCCCAGACTTTTAATATGCAGGGCGCACTTTTTTTCTGGATTAAAATTGGCAAGACACTGCACTCTCACCCAAAAAGGGGAGCTGGGAAAAGTGGCCGTGGCAACGGGAACGTGGGGTGCAGATGTCCGGTGCCAGCGCAGCTCCCCAGTGGTTGGAAGGTGCATGCACATGGCAGCTGGGGAGCGGCACCGTGGCACAGAGAAAGCCCTCCTCAGGGGAGGTGGTGTCACGCAGAAGCAAGGCAGCAGCCTCTCTGACAGGTCACACAGAGATGCTACACTGTGTGCCTGGGGAGCGGGTGCAGGGGGTCATAAACCAACTTCACACAGCCCTGGGAAGTTGCAGGGTACGGGCACAGCTGGAGCAGGGAGGGGGGTGCAGGGACATTACTTGGCGACGGCCCCCTGGAGCTCAGCATGGCAGGGCTGGAGGCTGGGCAAAAGGACTCGGGAAGGGAGGAGAGGGGAGTGATGGGGAGGGACCGGCACCCACCTGCCCAGCAGGGGGGCACAATATGCGTGAAGAGTAGTGGGGAGCAAAGCACGCCATTGGGTGCCCAGGACTACAGCGTGACCATGTCCCTGGGGTGCAGGCAGGGCAGAGAGGTGGCAGTCTGCTGATGTCTGGTCCTGGTGCTGCCACCACTTCTCCCAGCCCTCTGCTCCCTGACTGTGACACATGGGCAGCTTCCAGCCTCTGGGGAGTTGCACTGGGACCAGACATCTGCACTTTACTGCTACAGCACCTTGCACCCTATCTGCACCCCAGGAACACAGCTACAGCATGTTCTGCTGCACCCTGCTTTGTGTCCTGGCACACCCTCCCCTTCCCCATTTATCCATCACACTTTCATCCTTATCTATAGCTGCATAATCTCTCCACAGCCAACAATACACAGTCCAGCCTCTCCCTCCAGCTATTCTGATCTTTGATCTTGGGCTGGCTGAGCTTTTCGCAGACCACAGACGAGCACAAGGCTGTCAGATGTCACCATCTCCTGCCAGCCTGAGCAACTGCTCCATGCCAGCTGTTTTGTGACATGCAGGAAATGGTCTGAAGGGAGACAGGCCCATGTCAAGGACTCACCATCTTATCTCACCTGCCTATCCCCCACTACCACCTCCTACCCTTTTGCTTTGCCCTTGAATGGTTTATCTTCATTTCCCCCTCCCCAGATTTCTTTTTCTCCAGGTTAGTCTTTCAAGAGAAACTCAAAGCCTTCGGCCTCCTGTAACAGGTGGGGGTATCTATAAATTGGGAATAATTGCTGAGGTGGAGAGAGGGCCTCTGATAGCCAAGAAGCTTGAAGAAGCAGCATATTCCAGGTGGCATGAAAGGGGAGTAAAAGCACTGCTACCTGGATTATAGGTAACCTTGCAGGATGGCTGTTGATAAAAGAGGCAAGAAACAGATCTGCAGCTTGGCCTTTTACAGCTTATACCCCAAAACACAAAAACAAACAATTATCCCAAAGCCCATGTGGCTACCCCTGACAGCACAACACAGACAACACATACCTATACCAGGCTGGGGAGAGAGGGGAGGGAAGGGGAAAGACATAGTTTGCAGGATGACACTGGGGCTTCTTGAATTTCTTGAGTTCTCCAAATCCCCCTCCAGCCTCTACCCTGTATTTATAGCTTATTCTAATAAGTGCTCTCTGATTGGCTTTATTTAAATGTATTGGTTTCACTGAAGCTCTGGGACTGGACTGAACCAGATCTCTTGTGGGCATGGAAGGTGTCAGTTAGTTGGGATTTATGTCCTTGGGAAAGTAAAAGGGAGCATTTCTTATGTCCTTTCTTTTGCCATTGTGGAATGGTGCTCAACACTATCCAGGTTCTTCTTCACCTTAGTTTATGGTCTTCTCTGACAAGGCTGTTTTGCTTTTACAACTGATCTAAGAATTTTAACAGTAATGTATCTATGATAGCCAAAAAGCATCTAATATATTTGGTTACATCAATCACTACCACTAACATTTTAAGATAAAGCTATGATAGAGTATATCTGGATGGGGGAGGGAAGGGGAACAGAGCATTTGTTTCCCAGAGATGAGATCTTTGTCCCATATATTTTTCTACCTCTGCAGGCAGGGAGGAAGCATGTGACCTCTATCACAGCTCCCACTCCACATTTTCTACCTGCAAGGATTTAACCAGAAGTGGCAGCTGCTCGGAGCGGTAGAAGACTGGGAACGTGAGGAATAATGTCTAACCTAAAAACTAAAACCTCCATCTCCAAATAAGATACATAGGGTAGGGGATTCGGCAGCCAGGAGGCCAGACAGCAGCATCAGAGATGGTAGACCCAGGTGCCAGAAAGTAGCCGGTGATGATGAAAGGGCAGTAGCAAAGCAGCTAGGACACACGGAGAGTCATCTCATGCCTAAAAACCCCTTGACCTTTAAGAGCTGCCTTTCATGCCAGGGGCACAATCCTGACTGAGGGTCAGGACTATGGTCTCTGTTGTAATCTAGGGGAAACTGAGGCACTGAGAGGGAAATATCTCTGCCCAAAACACTCAGAAGGTTGTTGTAGGAATAGGACCTGAGAGTCTTGACTCCTACCGTTGCTGTTGTCTGCGTTTCTACAGAACTGATGAGTTTGAGGCTACTGTGCTAGGCGCTGTACAAACACAGAGCAAAAAAAGATAGTTCAAGATAGTCCCAAACAGCTTCCAGTGCAAGAATAAGATAGGAGAAAAAATGAGATAGATGCAGAAGGCCGGGAGAGCGGAGGAACCAGTGAGACAGCATGGGTCGCATCAGAAGCACGCCAGCATGTCAGCTGCCCAGCCGCGATCAAGATTTTGGGAGGTGTCACAGCAAAGAAGAGCTCTAAGGAGGGATTTGGAAGAAAACAATGAAGTCACTTCAAAGGTCTTATTGGGGAGCTTCTCCAGGCCTGTTCAAGGAGCTTAGAGAGAAGAGATGGGGCAGCACTTGCAAGTGGGTGAGCAGTGGGATTTCCAGAGCAAGGCGTGTTTGTGCTGTGAGGTGGAGGCCAGAAGAGGTGGTGGAGGGAGGAGTCACAGAGGGGCTGAGAGGACATGAGGAAGACGGGACAGGGTGGAGCCCGGTGGAAAAGTTAAGAGAGCTCAGTCTTGCCTCCTCTAACCACGAAACCAGTGGCTCTAACCACGAACCTGGTGGCTCTAACCATTAGACCAGTGGCTCTAACCACTAGACCAGTGGTCCTCAGACTTTGTAGTCTCCAGGTCACCCTCGTTACACCCGAGGCCCTGTTGGAAAGCGCCAGCTCCAAGCTTTCCCTCCTTTCTGGACTCCCGGGGCAATTCTTGCGTGGCACAGAGCTCAGGCAGCCCCATGCGTCGAGCTGGGCCATGCATTTCTCCCACTACAGATTCCTATATGACATCTCATGGTCCATGTTGTGTCTCCCTGCAAGGTGCTGGCATACGCGGCCCCTGACATGGGCCTGGTGCACCCCGGGGTGCAGAGGCACCCAGCGCAGAGCAGGGCTGGCACCCAGCCTGCAAGGGCATCCGCCTGCTCCCCGCCCTCTGTCAGCACACATGGTTGGGTGCATGCAAATCACATGCAAATAGGCACGTGCGATTTGAATAGCAAGTAAATGTACCGTATGGGGCACAAATTTATGGCGCAATAGGCAAGTTTACTACCCCGTTTATTGCATGCCGTGCAATAACCCCGCGTGTCCTGGTCCATTTGAACAGCGGGCAATAAATTCCCTATCCCGCCATAAATTCGCTTGTAACGAAACATTTACATATCGCGCTATATATAGTGCATGGGGGTGGATATTTGCATAACGCGCAACGGGCCTTAGAAGTCTCGGAGGTAGGGACTACATTTCCCGGGACGCTTTGCGCGCACAGAAGGCACTTCCGGCTAGAACTGCGCCTCCCGATTGGCTCCCTCGGCCGCCCGCAAGCTGCCATTGGTTGTGCGCGGGACACGTGAGCGGAAGGGACTCTGCTCTGTTGCCACATGGAGCCTGCAGTGGCTCTGGCAGGGGGGCTGTAGCTGAGGCAGGGCATAGTGGGCAGGGGCAGCTGGGGCAAGGCATAGTGGGCAGGGCATAGTGGGCAGGGGCAGCTGGGCCCCCCAGGTGCTGCAGGAAGTAGGGCTGTGGGCACAGGCAAGGCCAAGAGCAAGGAGGAGCCACTTCCCGGCCCTAGAAGGTCTCCAGGGCAAGCGAGCGAGTGCCAGGGGCAGAGCTGGCGGGCTAAGCTGGCCTTGGGGGGCAAGGTCACAGCCCTGAAAGCAGCCTCAGGTGCTGCCCAGAGGGGCAGGGCCCAGCTAGTGTCAGGAGGGGCAGGTGCGACCGGCCATGTTTGGGGTCCGGGGCCTGCTCCAGGCCCTTCGCCGCTGTTCCTCGGCTCCATGTCCCAAGCACGCGCCGGTGGCGAGGCTGAGGGTCCGGGAGGCGCTGGAGGCCCGGGAGCTGACGTTTGATGATGTTAAAGTCCAGGTGGGTTGGGAGGGGG